TTTTATAGGTAATCATAGCAGAAGTTGATGAGTTTAAATTGCCAAAAAATCTTAAAAATCAATTGAAAACAACGATAACCAAAGTAAATGGGTCACTAGAAAAATTGAACAATCAAAAAATCGATGATTTTATTCATATAATTGATTCAAAATTATCAATAATTGAGGAATTTAATGAGAAATTTAATGAATTAGACTCAGTATCATGGGAAAAATCAAACTACAAAAAAATTAAAGAATATAGTGAAAGAGTTAAAGAGCTACTTAAATCCTGGAAGGACGTTAATTTTGGTAGTATGATTGATTCAGCACCTTCATTATTTAAGAAATTGATTGAAAGGATTTCAAAGGGAGAACCACAAGAATTACAGAAAGATGATGCAATTATTAATGAAAAATCTCAACAACTCTTACACGAACTGCAGTCAATCAGTCCAAATGAAATAAGTTTATTCGTTGAAAAAATTGATAAAATTGAAAAATTTGAACAAGTTTTATGTGAATGGATTAATGTTTATACTGATTATGCTAAAATTGCTGGAAAGTTTAAACAATTTTATGAAGACCTTAATAATTTCAAAACCGACATTAATTTCTTTGATATTCAAGAAGAATTATTAAATGAAATTAATAATATTAAAGAAAGCTTTACTAAAAAGTCTGCTCCGTCGGGTATTCTATCGAATTTCCACAACAATAAAGTAACTAAAGAGGTAAAGTATTGAATATCACTTTTTATAACAACATTATACGTACATAAGTACTTACAGTTCATATATTTTCTATTTCTAATAAAGATAACCCCGGAAATTGTCGAAAAAAACTTTCTCATGATTATCAGATTTAAATTCGTATATGATTTAACTATTGAATTAGAATACATAACAACTAGATTAAAGCTTTTTAAGCCAATATTTATTCAAAAAATATCAGGTTAATTTTCTATTTAAATATTATTGATAAATTCTTTAAAACTTAATAATAAAGACTAATTATTAATTTTATTTCAAATTTTTATTATTATAGATTTTTGGGAAAATTTTATTCATGAATTGGAATTAAACGAAGAATTGGTAAAAACTTTTAAAGAAAGCGAATTTTATGCAAAAGAATGTTGTTTTAATTGTATTAAAGAACATTCACAAAAAATCCTTGATTCGATTTTTAATTTTTGGTTAAATATTGTTTTGAAAAAATGGGATCATTATTAAGAGAATGAAAAGAAATTGATAAGAAGG